GTGTGTGTGTGTGTGTGTGTGTGTATGTGTGTGTGGTTGGATTCGCACAATATTTCCCCGAAGCTAAAGGTGACAGATGAGCAAAAGGATTTATGTTTGTGTGGAGCTATCACACTCTATTGAAAGTGTAAATGCATTACTTATATTTAGAAACTCTATCAGTTCTGTTTCCTACTTTTTTTTATCACCTTCATGTTTCTTTTTTCTTTGCTTTTGATTATCACTCGCTGCCGTGAAAGGCGGTTATGCCTGTGTCTTTGTGTGGATGTTTGCATGTGTTCGTCTGTCTGTTAGCAAAGTATCAGTGGAGGGATTTTAATGAAACTCTCAGAAAATAAAAACCGAGTTTGCATCTACAACTGATTAACTTTTGGAGCCAAACTGAGTCAAGATAGCTGGCACAGCTAACAGGTTTTAGCAAAAACAAAAATGGGTATAACTTAGTTTTACAGATGCTAAGATAAAATTTGGTCTGTTAGTAGCTGAGAGTTTTTCTCAACACATACTTGTTGTAATGATAGTTTGAGAAAGATCTTCATTAAAAAGTTTATCATGCAAAATGGTATTTCCTGCAAGATGTTTTTWAAAAAAGGCCTCCCAATCCTCTCCTCTTCTCTCACAGAGAAATGGGGTGTAGGCTCCCAAAGCTGAGGAAGGCTGAGGAGAAGCGCAGCCCCGGGAACATCTACTCCACCCTCCGACGGCCTCAGGTGGAAACTAAAGTGGGAGTGGCCTACACCTACCACTTTTTGGATTTCCTGTTGGGGAAAGAAGGTATGAACAACAGCTCAACGTGCTGTCGGAAACTATTATTCTCCTCTGAGGACTTTCTGAACCATCTACTAATGTCCAAAGTACATTTTGTTTCTTCCTGGGAGCTGAGCCTGTAAAATCCTGATGAGACACCATGTGACCTGACACAGCTTGACTCCCACACATGCATACTTGAAATAGTCATGTGTTACTGTTTTTCATGTATCATCTCTTTTAAAGAGACACAGAAATAATAATAAGTAAAAAAATGGGAGTTAATCAGAATAATTCTGAAAGATTGTTTCCAAGAAAATAATCCCTTCATGCCTTAAAAGGCTTTCTGTGTAAGTCTAACACCTTTGTCTGATTTAATATGAGCTGATTTGTTAAAATGCAAATGAACTCCGTCTTTATCTCCGCCGCCTTCTCTGGCTTTAGCTCCTCACCCTCGATCCTGCTTAAACACTTTTTTGGCTCAGCTATGTTAGGAAACAGCGAATGTTGTGTTGCTATGTTAAACAAACCTTCCCCCCACCAGCCAAGTCCCACCTCAGACATTAACAGGATTGTTTTCCTCTCAGTTTTATATGAAATCCTGGCCTTTCCAAATCTCTGGTTTTGAGTCACTCTACTTCTGAGGGGTACGTTCTCAGCCATGTTCTTAGCTGATTATTTTGCTAATCATATTTTTCTCTGAGCTTATAGGACAAAAAACACAAAATTTGACTTTCATCTCATCCATTCTGTCAGCTGCCACAGGGCAAGAGGTTTGGTGTACTCTGGAAATCTCATCAATCCTACACCCTGAGACAGACACCCATGTGTATTTAGTCTCATTTTAGCTGTACTGGTTTCTCCTTAACAGCTTTATTTTAGTCTCTTGTGATTCTGGCCTACCAGCTGCAATTTTCAAAAAGCCCTCACAAGCTGACGGTGTGGTGTTTGCTCAGAACCAAACAGTAGTTAAAGTCAGTGATCAGCCAATAAATTTGGGAAGCTTGTAAGACCACATTGGTTTTGGGTACTGTCACACCCTCTCCCACCCACAGTTGTGCTGCTTATGTGCATTTTGCAGCTAAACAGTCGGGTTTTTCCCACCAGTTACTTGAGAAAAACAAACAAACAAACAAACAAACAAAAAAAGCAGATATTTGGATTTACATTTGCCAGATCAGTCTGTGTAAATGCTGGGTGCTGAACAGCTTTGAAAATATTAGCTGAAGAAGCTGAAACTGAGCTAAAGCTAAAAAAGCATCCATCCATCCATCCATCCATCCATCCATCCATCCATCCATCCATCCATCCATCCATC